ACTACACCTTTTCCACCCACACCCTACCATAGTTTAGGTAAATCCATGATATGCGATGGTATTGTTTTTAGGAGGCACAGCGCAAGGCATGTCCACATTAAAAGCGCACAAGGTGATTTGAGGGTTCCTTGCATTTTTTTTTTCGCATTCCTTTATTAGAGGTTCACTAGTTAGAGATACCCTCCCTTCCAATAACACACGTCTAGCCTTTCGGTATTTTTTGGCACGAAAATCAGTATCCCTAACTCCAGCTCACATAGCGAACGGCCCCATTTAAAGTTGGTTTTTTGGGAACTCTAGTAATTAGGAGGAAATCCATTTAAAACAAAATTGGTCCAGAAGAGGATTCAGTTGAAAAGTTTTACGATACTTGCATACATATATGTTACTGTACTACGCTGATATGTTTGCTCAGGTGATATGGTGTTAACAGCGAGCTCAGCAAATGACCCTGTTTTCTTCTTGCATCATTCATTTGTCGATTTTATCTGGGAAACGTTCCGGCAACGAAGACAGGTACGCAATTCAAACTCTAAACATTCACTACTATTTCTCAAGAAACCCCACTCCACCTATGGGTTTATTTATCTGGATCACTTTCCCAATCAGATCTACAAAGCTTAAATCCAATAATAAGAACAGGTCGTTGGTTCGGGAGACAGAGACTATCAGTTGAACAGCGCATAAAATATACCATTGCATAATTTGTAAAAAAAAATCTGTCTTCGGGAATGGGAAAGGAAACAATTCCATGGCGTATCCTAATGAAATCGAGTGCTTTGTTCCTGTAAACCCAAGCCTTGCTGGGGGATGTGTGAATTTCAAATCAAATTTTTAGTCAAGGAGCGATCGGGAAAGAAGCTATCCTGCCGACAATCGCTTCTGCAGTGCTACAGCTCACTACTCAAACGCTCCAATGAGACCATTCGGTAATTTGGTGAATACTGATGGACTATCCAATCACTACACAGGTTGGCAAATCTATTGCAGTATTATAATCTCCGGACTTTATTCTAGAAAAAAAAACGTGACTTTTCGCATTATAACTCTATTTAGACATCTTCTATAGCTACAACGATCGCGTGGGATGCTTTGCAGGAAACACGAACTGCCAGTCGAGGTAAGCCTTCTGCCTGGCCTAATTTTTCTATTAATCCATTTACATTAATCCTTTTAATTTCTTTTTTTCTGTTCCTGAGTGGCCGATTTGCTACCGTGAATTTCGAGGCGGTTTTCTATAGAGGATTACGTTGCAGCTATTGCCAGGTTCCTCTTCTGTGACTTATCCCACGGTTGGCCAGCGTGCGCTTCGAAGATCGTTTTAGGCGGAAACTGGCCGGTTTTTTCAGAGGTGAGCTCTCTTTCGGTTCCTCAGCACCCTTTGTCAAAGAGATCAACCGCGGCTATACAGGCAGATTTTCGTGAATACGCAATTTCAATAGGTCCATTGGCGGGAAAAGCTATGTTCAATATCATTAGAAAGCTCCAAAGGTCCGTACGCTTGAGCGAGAGATACCGATAAGTGTGCAGTGCAAGCCTATTAGACATCACTGCACTAGTGGAGAGCAGTAGTCAGGGATCTAGGGAGCGAGACTTGTGACCTTTCTGTGCTGAGTCGCGCTAGCTCGGGCTTCTGAGGCTGCGCAGACTTCCCTCGAGCTCGGCCTCCACGCCGCCTGTCCCACCCATTTCATTGTTCTTATCATTCGATCAGGTGTTCCGTCTTGATGTGTGCCCTATAACTTTTCCATGGAGTGGGTCATCAATCAAAGTATGGTCTTTCTCTGGAATAATGGCGTCTGACGGATTAATATGAGCAAACGACCATTTCGTAGGGTGGCTACTAGCCCATTGCTCGGAGCTCATCCGAGCAAGAAAGAAGTCCTAAGTTTGCGCCGTTGCTCGACGGATTCTTCGCTGCTTTTTCGCGGTCACTTGCAGTACTTCAGGCATCCCCATTATCCACTACTAAAGGCTACCTACATTACGCAATCCTTGCCGTTAAGCACCGCATCATGGCAACGCGAAACGCGTCTTTCTCAGAAAAATATTCGTACATAGCATTTCACTCACACGTACTTAAAGGCAAGATTCAGGATTGAATTATGAGTTAATTCCACTCAAATGTGAAAGTAGGGGTAGGTAGTGGACCGCCAGTGCAGAAAAGAGAAAAAGAAATCGTGAAATGCTTAGGAAATACGAGCCATTTCCTCTACGGTGCGGAGAAGTTCAAAAGGCCGGCAGGGAGATGAGAGATAATGTGAGCGCGGAGAGCGCTAGAGAAGTCTAAGTAGAGAGAGCATAGCAGATCAACATTCCGACGCAGTCAAGATATCGAGCGGTGGGCGGAGCGTGTCGCAGCAGGTGGAGCGTGTCAAAGTTCTTAGCGCCTAGCGTCTAAATAACGGTTTTCGAAGTAGGGAAGTGACGCGACCCCTACACTTGCGTACCTAGCGCTTCTAGCCACCGTAAAGGCTCATTAAGTGGGTCTGAGCCCGAACTTTGCCTTTAAGTATTCCCTTGGAATAGTACTAATTCTGCTAAATCACTTGGGATGGCGCACGTTTGCGAGTCATTCAGAGTGCAATAACTTTTTGGCCATCTTAACCTGCAATCAACGGTAGTGACAAGCGTAAGTTCCCCTTCACTAACTAGCAGGGTGCTCGAACTTTATTGTACTTCTAAATGAAGTTCGTGTACATGGCGCATGCCAGAAGGATTTTACAGTTAGCACCTCAAACATTGCCACAGTATGAATATTTCGCTGGAAATGATAACCAATTCCAGGCGAGGATTGCTGCTACAATGGCCGTTGCAATAACAATGTGTGTGTGCTCACCGTGCCGTGCTCGATTAACGATACTGACTCCTGCAATGTTCGTGCTTTTTGAACTCACTGTTTAGCCTTTTGTTGCAGCTAACATCATTGGAACGAGACCAAGACCAATACCGAGACCGATACCAAGGCCAAGACCAAGAACGATTCCGGGAACGCGAACACGCCCTTTCTTTTTAGCTACAAGCCCTAGGAGGTCGTCCATAATGCGCAAATTCAAGGTGATTCCCACTCTTTCCTGGCAAACTTCGCCATTTCTGGATTTCTATACTGATAGATTGAGCCTCGAAAACACAGTCCTCCAGATGGAATCGAGCGATTCCCATGCTGGTAGATCTTTGGAGACGAGATATGGCTGCGGGGACCACTTCTGTACCGGAAACTACAAAAAGGCGTTAGAAGGAACAGATGGGTCGAGCGCGTATAGGGCCTTGGACTGCGGATTCTACAGTGTTTTTCATTTATCCCTGAAAAAGGACTCCTTCCGCTCCACGCATCATGACCCTTCTCGGAAAGCCAAAGTATTACTTCTTCCCAAAAATGGAGAAAACGGTCTCTTCGTTGCTATCTCGTTGGTGGATTACCAACAGACAGCTGACCCTTGCTGAACTTATTCATCACCACAGGCACTATTACTTCTCGCTCTGGGGGTTCTTCAGCTCAATTATACCTCCAACGCTCGGCTTCCTGGTTCCTGGCTGTACAGGTTGCATTGCACAACCCCCTGACTAGTTTGTGAGGCTCTTCCGACTCATCTACTAACCATAATATTTATTTAATTGAATAAGCGGCATTCATACTTAAACATCCTTCGTGTTTTCAGGCTGACGTGGATTTCGCTTCAACGAGAATGAGTGTTGTGGGGTATGGAGCGAATTTGGATACTGTAACTCGAATCCAACATACATGACGGCATCATGCAAAGCCTCCTGTGGAGTATGTACGCCCAACTACAATATCAGCGCTGGTAATAATTTTGTATGCTATCTGTGTCCTCAACACCATTGAGTTGTGAAAGCAAGGTGCTGAAGTTTTATCAGAGGCCTCCTTGCCTGATCTCCTTTGTGAAGGGTCCAGAGGTGTAGGATGAAAGCACACTGGCGTGTAAAACTTAAGGACGAACGTCGCTCTTCCATGACGTGTTACTGGCGAGTAAGACAACTTTACAGAACCTAACTGCACTTAGAAACGCTCTAAGTGGCAGTAAGAAAGCCATGGACGGAACCGTAAACGATCCATAAGTATTTGATCAGTTGTGTTACTTCATCAATTGCCTTAAAAGGACGAATTCACGCTGGAAAGGCAACCCATTTCAAATTAACTCAGGGATGGTGAGTGGTACACGAAAGAAGGAAGAACCATGAGAAACGGCCCAGAACCCGAGAAATGGGACCCCTTCCTTGCCCGTTGATTTGAGCATTGATGCGACTCTCATCGCTGTGCCCTCCTCAACATCACGCTCTCTCTGCTATCTAATCAATCCCACGTATAGATCTGCGGCGAGTGATCAGCTGGTCGGTGGGCGGAGATCGCCAGACCCGCCAACTTTGAGGCATAATAGGTCGCCGAGGTCAAATTTTTCGATGCGAATTGCGCATCAGTTCGCACCCTCAGGAGGTCCGTGGGTTACTCAACTAGGTGAATTACTTCTTCCTCGACCTCCATTCTAATCGTAAAATCCTCCTTTAAGTTTTGCACACCGGTGTATCAATAGGTATTGAGATAAGCGCTGTGCCGAGAGAAAAAATAGGCGCAAGAAACATTAGAACACACCCCAAAATGGTTAAGGGGCTTCGAGTTTGTGAAGACATTTTAGTGTAGTACAAGCCTAGAACGAAATAAGAGTGAGCAATCGGATGATAGACCAGACCGGCGACAAGCGCAAGGGGGCAGAAAAATAGTGAAACTTGAAGAACGCCGCATATGCGCAATTTTCGGGATAGGTTCGTGCGGGTGTTTCTACACATCCATAACAGGCTTAGTCATTACCGACCATCCGTTAGACAATAGCCGGGAAGGTAAAGGATCCTTATTCTGATTTTTGTAGAGCAGAAACATAAAAATGTAGAAATGTCGGTGAGAAGTTGTATAGAGATCGAGGAGATAGAGTTCCTAGGATCCTGGATGATTCCCTCGGATATCCGATATTTGCACAATCCAGTGGTCAAAGGCACAACATAGCCAGGGGTCGTGTGAACGCTTCACTTCGGTCTGTAGTATAGACCCCTAGAGGACAATCACAAATGTGGCGTTCCGTGCACGGAAACCAACCGACAAGAGCGCTTGGGCCTTGCAAAGTAAGCTGCTGAAGCTGCAGACTTTTTTCTTATCAGGCTGTTGTCTGGCGCTCTCTCATCTGTAGCGCTCTCTCGCCTCATACTCTCCTCTCCGCGCTTAGTCTCTCATTCCTTAGCACAGCCGATTACGAAGGTGAGTGAAGCCCTGCCACTAACCAGGAAATGTTTTTGACTTCCCATGGAACTTTGAAAGGAGACCTATGAACATCGATAGAGTTTCGGACGCTGAGTACAAATATGGACATTAAAACTGCTACGTGAACTTTATAAGAAAGTTACGAGCATTCAAAGTTGGCAAAAAACGTTACTGAGGCGAGCTCACCTGATGAAATCACGGATGCTTTTTGTCTGGTTTCTTGTTCTATAAGGGTTAGTGGGTGCCCTGATTACGAATTTGATACTCGTTTTTAGCGCAGAGCCACGGCGAGCGTGATTCCATCAGGTAAGCCTACCTCAGTAACGTTTTTTGCCAACTTTGAATGCTCGTAACTTTCTTATAAAGTTCACGTAGCAGTTTTAATGTCCATATTTGTAATCAGCGTTCAAGACTCTATGGAGTCATCTAGGTCTCCTTCCAAAGTTCCATGGGAAGTTCAAAGCATTTCCTGGTATCGTATTTCGCGAATTCTTTTACTTTTTCCTATATACCGACCCATTTCGCATCAAAACATTTGTATTCATGTGCAAGAGCCACATCATTCATGATCCTGTGGCATGCCTTTAATCCTGGCTCCGAATTACAAAAGCGGTTCAGTCCCTGCGGTTATTGACCATGACCATTCCTTCGTGGGAAGACACCAGTCATGTGTTTGCTCGGGAATCACACGTCACACCTATAAATTTCTAGGTCATTTCAGAGTGTAGTGATCGGTCATCCACCTGTCCAACAACGGCTGCCGAATGTCAGTCTCGAAAAGACTGGATGAAAGAAAACTGCAGGCGATCGTGTTCATTCTGCGACCAAACACGGCAACAAGCCTGTACTGGTGAGTTTGCACAGGGAACTTTTTAATTTCGAAAAAATATCAGCGGTTATCAGGGGTCAAAAGGTTTTCACTCGGGTAAAATGAAAATGGAATAATATGATTTGTTTTCGAACCCAGTGGCAACACATTCTCTCCGGACGCCGTCACTGATGAAAGCAATGGAGACATTGAAATGAAGTAGGCCCAAACTTCCTTCTGCTCTATGAGATTGAAATCCTCATTTTTCACACATAACAGGTTTTGGACAGATATTGAAGCTGTTCCGTAAAGAAAAGATTGAGCCGTTTTCTGCTTGGGAAACGGTAATGATGAAGTGTCTGGCGATCGCTCAGGGATTTGCTGATGTATGAGTGGATTACACATAAGAAACCAGAAACTGGATGCGCCTAAAATTACACTTAAGTATGTTAGGAAGAAGCCGACAGCTCACTCCAGGGTAATTGTTTCTACAACGGTAGAGGCAAAAATCAGGGTTGAATTGATGTGGGAATCCTTCTCAAATATGAAAGTTGAAAAGCAAGGCAACTCGTCCGGCACGCGTCTCCCTTCATTGCTAAGTGGCAGAGGGGAGTCCCTGTCTAATTCCCTGTTCGACTTTTTTTTTACTTTTTTTTTGATTGTCGGTCAACTTTTCACCCACAACTTCATTATCGGTGGTTTTTGCCAGCGAAAGCCGTTTCTTGAAATTGTCTTAAAGGACGAATTCACGATGAAAAAGCAACCCATTTCAAATTAACCTAGGGATGGTGAGTGGTACACGAAAGAAGGAAGAACCATGAGAAACGGCCCAGAACCCGAGAAATGGTACCCCTTCCTTGCCCGTTGATTCGAGCATTGATGCGACTCTCATCGCTGTGCCCTCTTCAACACTACGCTCTCTCAGCTATCTAATCACTCGCCACGTATTGAACTACGGCGAGTGATCAGATGATCGGTGGGCGGAGATCGCCGGACCCGCCAGCTTTGAGGCATGATAGGTCGCCGAGGTCAAATTTTTCCATGCGAATTGCGCGTCAGTTCGCACCCTCAGGAGGTCCGTGGGTCCCTCAACTAGGTCAGTTTCCCTTTCTTCGACCTTCATTCTAATCGTGAAATCCTCCTTTAAGGAGCTTCACTAAG